GAAGTGACTTGAAAGCAATCATGCCTTCACAGTGTTTCTCAAATATATCAAATTGTGTCATTGTTCTCTAATAAGTAATATAGTTTACTAGGAGCAATAAAAATAGTGAAGTCCAACTTAAAATAATTACCTCAATACAGATGATGAAGTCCTGAACACTTGACTTAAATTGCAGTGCTTGAGCTATTGGACTTTTAAATAAACCAAGGGTGTAGAGAAGGGCTATAGCCACACCTTGCCACCAAGTTAGAAACACAATAGACTTAAATGTCAAGAACTTGTATAGCGGATTAATGTGTGATAATTCATATTTTGTGATGGTATAAAATTGAACTAAGCAATACAAAGCCCATGACTGACTGAAATTTAACACCACAGCCATGTAAGGGTACCTATAAAGAACAGAAGGCAGATATAATTAGAGATATTTCAGGCCTCTTATGCAAATCAAATGACAATATATGATTAAATAGAGGTAATTTGATGGTAAAACATTTCAAAAGGCAATGCCAGTTGAAATTAATTGCAAGCCAACAATGATGAGAACCTATAAAACTAACAATAGAATAAGATGTGGATTGAGGAGATGATTTGAGACAAAAATTATAGCAAGGAAAACATTAATATCATTAGATGGACGCAATGAAAATATAAAAGGACGAAAAAAAATTTGGATAGGCATTCAAATAAAAAGGCCATAATAGAAGCAAAACACTGTAAAAATGCATTTTCATTGGTAAGTTCAGTGCTAACATATTCTTTGCATTCCCATTTTTCTAGTCACTACGTAATCACATACTTATCCAAAAGGTGATGATTGACTATTCCAAATATTTAGGAGATATACATCTATCTTACCCACAATTCCATTTGAAGTCTCCTTCACAATATACACCAAAGGCTTCAAGAATCACTGCCAAAATAGCAGTAACTGCTTTTATAATCACCTGTCATGGAAATTTATGTGGTTCATTTCGCATGATGAAAATTTAAATAATATAATAGTCGACAATAGCATATGCTAAAAGGTTTCCTAAGAAGAGGAAAACTTACGTATTGAACAATACCAAACTTGATAACTTGGTATACCCATTGACCCAATTTCCAAGGCTTTAAAATAAGATTCATCGGAAAGTGGTGCTTTACAATTCCCCTTTCAGACCCATGATCTAATAAGGGTGTTTTCGCACTTATGCATCCTTCCCTCTTCATAAATGCAATTGTCCTTTCTTCTCCGCCTAATTCAGAACATTACAAGAGTTCTATTGGAATTTTAAGATATCAAGCGAATTGTAGATTTGTGACGATTTCAACTAACATAAAATTAATGGCCTTCTAAATAAAAAAGGAATGTCGAGGCCTCACATTCCAAAAATTTAAATAAAGAACCTGGAATAACAAAAAGTAAAATATTTATAAAAGGAAAATGAAAAAGTCAAGCTAATCAAAATCTAAATTGTGAATCGTATGTAGACATAATAACATCGAATTTTTTGAGAAGAATGATATTCGTACCTAAACATGCAACAAGATATCTCCCAAAGCAATACATGGCAAAGGATTCATAGCAATCACGCAGGATCTCAATATCAACACTAATTGCTGGGTTTACCAATGATGCAAACTGCACAAACAAACCATGTTAGAGAAAGATAAATTCCGTACAATTGCAACAAGTCTGACAATGAAATCTTAAAAGAAATGTTATATGATCTGCACATTTTGACTATCCTACAAACCAAATTGTCACGGGAACATGCTTAGATTTTAAATAATTGTACACAGGCTATAAATTTCCCCAAGTCTTTAAAAAGCCTGTGGATTAGCTTTTGTGATTGGATAGAAGAAAGAACCATCCATTTCTATATAACTTTTCAAAGTATTTTACACTAAGTTAGTAAAATTCTTCATTGCAGAAACTCATTTTCACACTTTGTTATCCCTCGAGTCACTATAATATTACCAGAAATATAAAGGGGGT